AAGTCGTGAAACAATAATTTAAACATCTGTAACGTTACTTTCGTCGGTAGGAACGAGCCGAACATCATAGAAACTTCTTTCAAGAACTTTAGAAAATGTACAGTTTAACTTACAACACGCTCCTTGTCATGGCTACCTCCACACTGGTCGCACACCCAGCCATACTCCGTCTTGTCCTTCCCGAACTTGACAATATCCGCTATCCTGACACACGCCGCGTGAAACAGCTGTCCGCACTTGAAACACCGCACCACACTCTTGACCGCATGGACCAGCTGGGTCTTGCACTTGTAACACACGCCGGCCGTCATCGCGGCGGACTGACTGGATCCGGCACGAAGGACCAACGAACTGATAACGATCTACCTAGATAACAACTGGGGCTTGGCGTGCAACGCGAACGCACAAGTTAATAACCAATGTGATGGCTAGTGAGGCACTGACCGTAGTGGACTGAGTGACTGTCGATGACTCATCGCTATCACTGGACAGTGGCAAGCCCGGTTGACGTCGCTAGCGGTAAACAATCAACAGAGTGTCATCGGGTCATGGAGCTTATGATTAAACCTAATGGTACAAGTCGAGAGATAACGCCAGATTGTCCGAGGAATATCGTTAGTTGTTACATATTGACGAATTAACATGGGGAAATTCAACATGGCGTTTCTCTTTCGTTTGAAAGAACAAACGGTTAAAATTTCTGTCCATCCAATCACATAGTTAGCATAAATAAGACTAAGATGGGCAGGACACATCTGTAGAAGACCAGGGGAGTCAAATTTAATTTTATTAGACGCAGTTCCTGCAGGCAGGCGACCACTGGGTAGATCGAGATTGCGGTGGTGGGACCAAGTCCGAAAAGACACGAGAAGAACGAATGTTACGGAATAACTGATGGAAGACCGAGGAAGATGGCGAAAAGCTTTTGGCGAGGCCAAAAACCTGCTTAGGTTTGAGATGGCCAACTAGGTAAAGTAAGGTACTGCTAAGTAATTATTTGATGTTGTAGTTTGCTGTATTTGAAACAAACCATACGGTACTAGAAGAAGACGACGATACACTCGGAAACTATTTAGATTCAAGAATCGATACGAAGCTTTTAATCAGTGGGTATATGACTTATGATTCAACATTACTGGTTATACATTTACAGGGAAGGCTCAAATAGTATGACCAAGAGAGAATCATTCTTAATCACAGAAAATTCATGGAAAATGCCAAACGGAAAGTCCATCAGGTTTAACTTTTTTCTGAAGTTAACATTTTAAATACTAGGAGATAGTTGCATCTAGTTTCTACAAAAATGCACGATGACCATTCGAACTTATTAAAGAAAAAGATATCGTGATATAAATATTACACTCGAGAATAAAAACAAAATGTTAAAGCTGAAGCCAGTTGTTGGATAAAATCTACTAGCTTTGGTTTGAGCCACCAAGTGGGTTGCTGTTAATTCACTAATTACAGATTTTTAAACAAGAGCCAAACGAAACGTCGGCCTATTTTATGCTACAATATAATCCTTATGTCACACATCGATAAGTAACTACTATACATCGATAATGTCGCATAAGTTATCAAGGTATCAGAAACAAGAAAGACAAACATTTTACCATATGAGTGACTTATTTTTGATCCATTTTTAATTGTAAACATTGGCTACAGCAAGTCAAAATAGATATGATGTCCACCCTAGTATTCAAAGTCAAGGGTAACAAATACTGTGTAAATTTGTGGTATATCACTGTATTGAAAATATGTAAATTTATGTCTTTTTAAAATTAAAATATGAAGTAATAAAATCTACTGTTGGGTTTGGAAAATGCTGAACAAAGCCGAGATACCGAGGAATCACAACACACGTGCTGAGGTAAAGGTAGGGACGGAGGGGCTCCACAATCAATATCAAATGTCAAGGGGTATGCTGGCACAGAGATACACTGTACAGTGCATCCCTTACAATGGCATCTAACAAACACACACACGCACGCACACATAGAGTATGTCTTAAAGGGTTGGTCGTTCTACCATGGATTAAAGGAGTAGACAGTATACTCTCCATTATGTGGTTCTACTTCTGAAAACTGACTAAAACCAGCTTAGTTTGTAAGAACCAAATTTGGTATTAAAAGGTACTTAAAGGAATCGCAGTAATACTATTATAGTATTAAAATTTTAAATTCAATGAAATTGAAAATAAGAAAATATATGAAAGTGTATACTCAAATGTCTTATGGAGCTGATAAAATACAGAAAAATAAGCCTCGTCAGCTGTTGCAAACTATGAACCGTCAAAACCAAGAGATCATACTGGAACACGAATCTAGTGCTGTTTGAAGAATAGAAATGAAGATCCTAACAAATCAGGGATAAATAAATAAAAAAGAATAGTTTTTAAATGCAGGCATTTGTTAAAGTTGTAAAGCCGCGTTTACCCCGGAGTTTGCAAAATAATATTTGAAACAAAAGTTGTAATTTGGATTGTTGTAGCCGTATGTTTAAAACGTGTTTTACTGTACTTGTAAACATTAATGTAAACGTGATTTGACAAACTATTATTTCTATATGAAACAGTCCATAGTTATAAGTATCCAATAGTCAAGGCTATTGGAATGAAATTGACAATCTGTGCTAGATTTATTTGTTAACTTCTCAGAAAATGAAACTTATTATTGAAAGACCCCGGAAAACACAACGATGCCAAAGTAAAATTAACAAAACAAACAAACAGTGTCGGCAAGGCAGTATTTGGCACTCAATAGTCGGTGATGTAGTTTTCATCATAGTTGCTAGGAGCGCTACTGTCGCAAGCGGTGAGCACCGCGCATTCTGGTAGACAAACTTGTAACTCGGTAATATTCCAATGAGGAATCGACCTGCCAATGAATATACTAATTATCTACTAATTAATACAGTATTGTATATTCGTTCTTTATTGTAGACTTGGGATCTGCCATTTTACAATTTTTTATTCACAGATTCTATTAAATATACAAGTTTCATGCTACTGTACTATGATAAAAGTAGTTGGGGAAAGGTGTTTTTTTTTCAGCAAACCACGGTTTTATAAATCGTCAGGACTGGTCTATTATTGTTGAACTAAACGAGATCTAGTTGTTAGATTTGGGTTAATTTGGGCGAGTTATTTCTATTTATATTCAAAACATAGATGAGATAGCTAGTATCGCAGACATTGGAAACATTGGCTACATTGTCTGCTAGTATAAACTTAATATGCAACAAAACATTTGTAAAACGGATGTTCTAAAATAGGTACATGTATTTTGAAGAGGAATCATAATTTTTCAAAAGAGTTTTCTGTTTTGTCTTAACTTATATCGTTGTACTGCACTTTATTTTTGAACTACCTAATAAGTATACAGATTTTGCAAAATGTTTCATCATTTAGTATCAATTGAAGAACAGATAAAATATTAGTTTTTTCATTAAAATATAAGTATAAGCTATTACGGTACCGGTAGTATGGTAGCATTGACTTTTGGATACTGAAGATGGTAGTGTAACTACAGTTGGGTACGAGATAACGATAGAACAAAAAGTAAAACATACTGCCGTACTAGCATAATATGATACTACAATACAACGTATTAGAAAATTAGATTTCTACGCCAGGTTTTGTGAATAGGATTACACAATTCATCGTCAGTATTGTACATTGTAGGAGGGTGAGTTGCAGCAGGGAGGGTGGGGGAGCTCTTAGTTCCAGCAGAGCCGAGCTGATATGATGATAAGGGCCTGCTTCAGAGTTCAGAGGAGGAGGAGACCTTCATGTAACATTGTTTAACATATCCTCTACTCTGTGAATTAATATTAGGCAATTGAGTCGTATTGTTAGCTATCGCTAAACCCAATAATCGCTCACTAACTCGAACTCATCAATAGGTTATGATGTCGAATAATATTTTTCATTGCATTGCTGATTTAATTTGTATAAGAACATTGCGAGTTGTTTTACCACTAAATAATATAAGCCAAACATGAGTATGGATTCTGTAGACTCCTTAATCGTCCTTGTTACAACAAGGTATAATAATAAAGGTATAATAATAATAATAAATAGCGATGTACATAGTTATGATACTAGAAATAAGTTTGATATTTTTGTACCTAGAAATAGGCTTCAAAAATCATTGTGTTCTTTTCCTGTTTCAGGCATTAAACTTTTCAACAAATTGCCCCAATGTACAAGAAATCTACACACAAAAAAATTCTCCACTTTTGTAAAAAATTGGCTCACTCTAAATCCTTTTTACCACATATCCGAATTTTTCAACTGTGACAAAAGCAATCTGGTGGTAACCGTTTGAGTCATTTTCAGGTACACCTGCATGGTTTGTGCACGTTTTCTTGTTTTGTTTTTTGACTAGAGCTTATTTATTTGAATTGTTTGTTGATGGATTTGATTTTGCATGTTTTGTTTATTTAAATGACGAGCCTATTGTACTTGTTGTATTTAATGGCAATAAAGACTTTGACTTTGACTTTGAAGGACGGACGATCAATGATTACTATTAACAAATGTACTGATTTACCGTACAGCTGCACTAACCCCCCCCCCCATTTCAAAGTAATAGGATAAAAATAGCGATTCATCAAAGAAAAAATTGACGAATCTTACATTTAAAATAATTATACAGAATTACAGGTTTTGGATTAACAAAGAGGCAATCTAGTTACCCAATGTCACTACAGTATGCGGGCTGACTTCTCGGACCCAGAATGATCCTAAAATTGTGATTGTATTACCAACTTGAGATAAAACTACACGCAGTATTTGCATTCGGAAATCTACTCTATATTTGCGTGAATGGTTTATTTGTGCAACTAACAATAAAACTGTACACTATTCATCAACCATACAAGGGGTGTTACTTAGACTTGCCAAGGTTTATTATGTATGGATGAAGTAAACGTCTGGCCCAGCAGTTAGAAGCTACACATAACAATACGAGTGCAGGTTACAGTAGGTGTATTCCTACCTTCTGGTGTATCCGGTCTTTGTAGCTCTCGGAGCGGTTGATGGAGGTGGCTGAAGGCTTGGTCTTGGTCACATGATGACTCCTACAACAAACAAAACATTCACTGTAAACACTCATGTGCGATCTAAATTCAGCTAGTACAGTGTATAGTATCTACTGACGGCTTCAAATATGATAGTTCAATTCATGTTTCAAATATTACGTCAGAAATTAAATCTGTATTCACTGGATTGGTGAGTGTCTTTGGCTATTAAAATATGCCCTCGCTACATTGGAAATAAAATAACAAACCATCAAAACCCCAATTTAAAAACGATTTTTGTCAAGTTTTCTCCTAATGTTTACAATTACATTTTATAAAATAACGAACAGCTGTTTGGATTAATTCTCACTTCTATCTGTCACTGATGTGTTTAGATTAAATGTTACAAAAATACCGCAACCATTTCCGATCACGTTTTGTAAGCAAATCCAAACCAAGTGAGATTTAAAACGTTGTGTCTTACATAACGGATTTAATTAATCGCAAGTGCAACAACTGTTCTTGAGTTTTGATAGCCGGGAAAAGGGCCGTGAATCAGTGTTGTATATGGCTGGGAAACTTACATTTTTTAAATCATCGTCGCCAAGTTTTTATATAATTTATGTTCAGGTTGGGTATGTACATATCATGCGCGATATGTACTCTTGGGCAATAAAATTTGAGCATAACCACCTGCACTAATATTTTTTGGTCAAGGGTAATGCTAGATTACGCAGCATTGCATACACAGTATCAGCATTTACTTCCTAAATGCTGCGAACTGATTGTTCCACTCCTCAGCACAATCAGCATCGCCATCTCAGGGCGTGGTCCTCAGCAACTGATTGATAGCCTCGAGACACGAACCATCATCGTCAGTCGTCACTACCTTTCATTCACAAATTGCCAGGTCAATACGACTCGCAGATTGATCCAATAGCCGAAACACCGGCGCTGAGCTTGTCAATGAAGCTAAAATACGACATTTGAATGGTACTTGGCTTGACTTGGCTTTACAAAACGGACCAAATCATTGACTCTGGATAGTGGAAGATCCCACTCGTCAAATTGAAGGTTTACATGTTCGCTTCATGTTGAAACTGAGTGCACTGGACGTTTATATTTTATTTCAATGTAGATTTTAAAATGTGTGCTCTACTGTTTGGTAGTAATATCGGATTCAGAGGTCAAAATAGTATTCCCAATTAGATAGTTTTACTTTGGTTTAACAGGGGGGAAATATTTTAAATACAAAAAACAAACGGTTAACAACAAGTTACACCTAAGTATCACAAATGCTTCGCGCGTTATTTTAAACATCCACGAAATAATCAAAACACTGATATGGATAGTGGTTGTGAATCCTCAAACCCGCTCACTTCCCCGCGCTAGGACATAGGAGATAAAATATTCATTCTCGCCAAGACACCTTGTTTCCACGATTCTTCTCGCGGGAATACTAAATATTCATTTTCAACTCAACAAGATCCCAAAACAGGTTAATTGTGCTGAGACTAATATCGTATTAAAACTAGGGATATGCATCAGATTTGTTGATGATAATGATTACGAAGATTAATTAAGTATTCGTGTTACCTACTATCTCACAGAGAAAAAAACATTTAAATAATAAATACATAATAAACCTTATAACTATATTGATCACGTATTGTAATTGATTTATCATTTGACTCACTTGATACTACGTTAATTGCTCTAATTCAATTTTGACAATTCACAGACTTTCCCACCTAACACTGTAGAGTATAATGGAAATCCTTCAACCATGCATTGCAGTTATAAACTAAGCTTCAGTTAGCTAAAGAACGACCAATATCAACCTACAATACCAAACTAAACCGCGATAAAAACCAAGTATTACAAACGTTTGCAATGTTATCACTGCACTCCATATCCGGCGTTATCACTCGTACAAACGACCTTGACCTTGACCGCCCCTGCACTGGCGCGGCTGTGGATTATCGATAACTTTATGTTATATAGTAATAGTTTTATAACCGATACCAAACAAAACTGAAGGTGGTATCTGTCTATGAATCTGTATGCACCGGTCGACAGTAGAGAGTGCTGAACCAGTAAACGTGTAAAAAATATATATACTGTATTATGAATCATGTGAGCATAAAGACATGTTCATGGCAATTAAATATTATTTGGCTACAGCCGGACGTCTGTTTCGAGACGGAGTTCTTCCTGTACATTTTGATTGGTCTCCATTGCAACAAAAGGGCACTACGATGTTTAATAGTATGGTTAATTTATATTTATATTATTATTTGTTACATGTTATTGTATACAAATCTAATGTGCAAATAAACTATTTGATTTGATTTGATTTGATTAGATATTATTGCAGGTTGAATATTATTACTATAAATTATCCAATTATATGAGGACGCGAGGTGCGTATTTCAATACAAATAAGAGTGATTGAGTGAAGGATGAGTGTAGAAAGTTGTGAGATGATCTGTGTAGCTTTGATACTGACTATGATCATAGAAAATTGTTGTCTATGTTATGTTTAGCAGTTTCATCAGGCAGGATCATTTTAAATACAATGACTAATTCTATATCGTAATTTCGAAATGTCTAAAATCATATAAAAACAACCACAAGTAAGTAACTTAGTAGTAAATATTCGTAAGCTTGGCACCATTTGGCATATTGCCTGGCATTATTTTGAACTTAATTACTCCGGTGGCTGGCTTAAAAAGCCATAAACCACATGGCAGCAGTGTTTACAAATATTAACACAAGTCTATTACGGTATCGAGCTGCACAATGCAAACTGATGTTGGATGTTTCATAACCTGCTTCTTACTACGTAGGATTCATGAATGGGGGAGCAAATGTTAACAGTATAAATATTTTAAAAGAGTTTTAGAATTTTTATTTTTGTTTGCATCTCCTCTTTTTTAAGAGACGTGTGATGAAAGAACCTAGAGAGTGTTGTATTTTAATCATATTCAAAGCAGAGTGTAATTTGGTTAGTTTTTTTAGCGAAGAACACACCAATCACGTGAATATAAACATGCCGCTAAAATAATTTTGAGATCCATTTATAGTCGTCAAAAATAAAACCTACGCGTCCATTTTTTTTTTTCATTTAAGATTATTGCCGGTGAAATGTATTACAGTAGTTTTAAAGATTTCTAAACATCACAGCAATCTTAATGTTCCTCTTCTTTAGTGTATAGAAATATTTTTTCAGTAATGAGCCCTGTTAACACTCATTATTTCACTGAAACTGAACTTATTATTTTATTAGTTAAATCAAAAGGTTTGTTTATGTATTAATGTGTTAACAAAATCAAACTCGTAATTATTGTCAATTTCGTATTTCAATTTGACGGGGTCCCAGATACATCTTGTTCGAAGGGAGAAGGATAAATGACAAATGCCAACCCGAACTGTTTTGTAATCAAGAATTTTTAGTTTCTTGTACATCAAAAAGAGTAAACACGTTCTAATCTGTGATCAAATTTGACACACACAAACACAAAAAGGTTTACTCAATTATTTTTATGACGAATAATTTTTGGAGGTTGGCAAATGACAGTAAGTTGTCTTAAGACCATAAAAAAGGTAGACCCAATGCAATCGTATCCTAAGAAAGACATTCAGTCTAAACTGTGTAATGCTAATTTCGTGAATGTAATCAACAAGTTCCCTATTCGATGCCATCTACTCACGCTTAAATTACATCTTAAGTTGTACGAATAAAGTTTTTTGTGTTTTACAGACAAACAACATTTAATCACAAACATTTTCACGTAAACATAATCTTGTCCAACATCTCTACATACACGGAGGCCGGCAAGCTTCGTTTCCTCTGAAACATGTTCTAGGTTCGGGCGCGAGACAGGACCAAGGTTACTACGGTCCTTCCATGGTCTTTGAACACCCGCCACCCGCAACGGTACAGCCACAGCAGCGCGGGACACCGACTGTGATAAGACAATACGATGGTGCGGTATCACGCCATACACCAGCGCTACTAGCAGCGGAGAGCGCAACTACCAACGCTGGCTTGGTTCACTGATTCTCCACCACGCTGCGCTAGCGCTAGCAGTAGTACGCGGTATTGCCACTAGGACAACTAACATAGCATTAGCAGACCTTGTACTGTAATGACAATTCTGTGGCAAGTTGCACTATAGTTACACAGGGACCAAAACCAAATTTATGTAACTAACATACGGATATGCATTAAGATACATTCATAAAACTTAAACCATATTTTTCTTAATTGGGTTAAGAGCGAGTTAAACAAACACCAACATTCTTATCGTTACTGTTTTAAAACTTAAAATTTTATATCGATGCCACTATTACAAGGCACAATGATTTTGATAGCTAATGCACGAATACTAGACAACAACATATGTTCATTCTGCTACGAAATACAAATAGCCCAGCCATAATTAACCTACCAATAACCTGCATACCAAGCGTGTCTTTTAGGGGGTTTCAGTTTATTATCAGTTAAAACATTTTAAAAGCAAATTAAATGTTTTATTTCCGTCCAGTATAAGCACGGTACTGTAATAAGTAGCACTGTCTGCAAAGAAAATTAAGTTTGCTTCAACAAGATGTACAATTATTATTATTATGGATTTTAATTTGCACTTATGCTGAATATGAAAGGTTGTTACAAGGGAAAGAAGCGACATACTGACTTACAACATGATATTTATCCTCCACAAGTTATTTACATGGAAGGATATCTTCCCTTCTACCCATATGGTTGGAACACTACTTGGTAAACCCATCTAAAAAATGTTCGTTTCACTACTCTTAATTGAATTAAAATAGGAGAACATTAACTAAAGTTTCGTTGTAATTAAATAATCATGGTACACGAGTCACAATGCTAAATATACGATTATTTTATATATGATAAACACATTCCAGGTGTGTTTTCACCACAAGGCCAACTAAACCATGTGACCTTGACCTTGTACCACGATTGTCGGCTCTCTGGCACTCTGATATGCAAATACAGCCACCGGGGTCAACAGAACAATACGGAGAAATGCAATAACAATCAATACAATATACCAGTCCATAGAGAGGCTGGGCAGATTGCCAAACCTGCATTTCTAATAGGCAACATACGATATAACCGTCCATGATATAACACTGTTTTCAGTAAGCCCGCACTCAGTTTCTCTTCACCTCGGTCCAGTTAAATGGGTTTTAAAAAGGAATTGAAGTGGAAAGTTCGTAGGTAATTGAATTTTTTATGGCTTACTTTATATTTTTGAGGGTGCTGAATACGAATCTGAAGACTGTGGTGGTGGGTACTAATCCTTGATATCTATATAGAAGTTTTTTTTTTTAACTTTTTGAAATTTAGATATTTTTATAGCGATTTCCTTATGAAACACAAAAATATCGGAAAATAGAATTTAAACAAATCGGCCTGAATGGGTTCGATCAAAATTTAGTATGTTATAGTCCTTACAATTCTAGACAAAATGGTACAACCCCCACTGGAATAATTACGATTTGAAAGCTACTGCATCTTTTGTGATTTGCCCGTAACATGGCATAGTAAAGGCTGTTGACAGTGTGTGTCAGATTGCTGATACCGTTTATTTATTTGTATTTTAAGTTTGCGATACTCACTGCTCGTGGTGGGCGGGGTCGTCGTCATGGTCTGCCAGGTGGGGATGGTGAGTGTTGGACCCTGCCCTCTCCTCGGACACCGGGTCTGGCCTTCGGTCAACACGCGACCCGCTCACAGTCCTTTCACCTGGAACAGAAAAACAAACGTTAACTCAATATACACAAACGTACTTAATATAATATACATGCTACGCCACAAGTAATCAACTACAGCAACTATGAGGGAGTTCCGACCCCCCCACCACTGAACTACTGCAGCTAGTACTGTTGTTGTCATGGCAACAGCGTCGTCTGCTCTCGGACACGATCCCCGCTCGCGTTCAATGGATCGACGTTTAAAAATTTTAAAATCAACGAAAGAACAAAGAGTTAGGTTTTTTTTCGTAGCGGATTTCCAATTACCTGACGATGCCCACATGAGAGAGGGTAAACTAATGTAATTTATCCTGGTATAAAACTGTTTAATTCAAGAATAAATACAATTCAAATTACCAAATCGTATGCGTATTATAAATAGGTAAAACATTTCTTCTGTTTACAGTTGTTAAAGTAGCATATCTCACATCAGTATGCCTATAAACGTGAACTTTGCACCTATGGCTGATTTTGCAAACAACATATTCCCGGTTGGAAAATCTGCTGTGTTGTACTAAAGCAGTAAATGGACACAAGTCCGAAAATTGATAGTCTTGGTGGCAACAAATTGACTCACCGACGTTACCAATCTTGCTTTCCTTAATCAAACTGATGTGTGGCGTTCTAAAACACAACCCCAGTCTTTACTATGAATCTATAGAATGTATGACTTTATGTATCCATGAGCCAGTAGAAAATCATTTCGGTATGGATAATGATTTAATATATCATTTATAATACAAGTATGTCTGTATCATCAAAGAATTATCATTTTCCAACTATATAAACTAAACGGCTGATGTAAATGGTTTATCGTTGCTTTGTAAAACACAATGTTTGCATATAACCAAAGAATTGCGTAGCTGAAGACTTCTAGGATGAACAGTGAATTGACAATTCTGTCACGTTGCGACCACAATGAACATGTCCTGCGTTACTCATTTCATTTTAACAGCAAACTACGTTAAACTACGTAGTCTACAGTGTCACGTTCATGAGCTCGTGCCATTTTTATACACGGCTGTCCAGAATTGATGATAGTTAACTTAATTCGTGTTTCGAGTCTTGGTTGCTACGAAGAAGTCCTTCGACGACTACATACAATCTGTTCACAGCACGCGGCGGAGACACGGTGGTGCGTTACGCCTTGTGTGACGCAGCGTGACGTGACGGCCGCACAAGAGGTTATTTACGTGACAACACAGACAGACAGACGCCAGGTGATTCTACCGTGACAGCTGACGTTACACTCCGATGGTCCTCAGAATAAAACACACACTCGGCAATGAGTCTATGATGTTAAATGATAAGATGTGGGAGGAGAGGTTATACAGACCTCACCTAATCATAACTTAACCTAAACTAAGGTTGGACCATGTTTTAGGTTAGGTTAGGTTAGGTTATCAAGATTTTGTTACCTAAACTAATTCCAATCTTATTTGGAAGTCGATTTACCGGTGTGGCCGGTATAATACCAAAGTACCGGAGAGAGAGTGTGTAAAAGTGGAAAAGTCTAACTCATTTGGTCTAAATGAGCGATTTGATTGGAAGGAAGAATCATATGAAAGGTTAGCGGGCACCTTGCTGTCTAACGACTGAAGACGGACAAGGAACGTAAACCTTTTATACATATTTTAAATTATGAAATGAAATAAATCACCTTATGGTCCTGTCTCACTGTTAACCTCCAAACAATCCATCAGTCTTAGTGGCCAGTAAGTTCAAGTTAAACCATAAAAATTTCCTAGTTGATATTAAATTATGTCGATTAGTTGAACTAGGGCCTTTGATAGCACACCCGTCAATGTGATGTGCTTTATTATGATAAGAAGTCTTAATCATGTAATGGCAGTTTCTATCAAGGTTATATACGTTCAGCATGGCTGCCTGTGAGTTTTGTATACATATTGTTCGGGAACAGTTATGTAATTAAATATAAAAACAGTTTGCAAGACGTTAAAACTATTTTCACATCAATCTGAGTCAGCTAATTTACATTTTCACTTGGTTAAGACTTCCGACTAGGCAGTACATGTAGTCCTTGCTGATGTCAATTCCAGGAGATCTTCGTGCGTACAAACATTTCGTAGCAAACAATTACTGTAAACCTGATTTCCTATTCAACATCAAACGTAAAGGACAGATGTATTAGTAGCCATTTTCACAAACCGGTTCTTAAAAACACTTAACATTACATGTGTATTTAGTTACTTTCAACGTCGGCAGCTTTCAATGCAGTTTTTCTTTGTAAGAAATCAGTGCAATATATTTATGTAAATTGAATTCATGAACGGGAATATGCAAACAATTAGCTGACCATTAGCCACATTAGCATATACTGTACTGAATTGACCGCCTTATAGGCGCAGCATGGTGGCCTGATTACACTGATACTGTATTAAGCCGGGTTTACACTATGTAGCAAAACCTGCTATATAGCAGATTTGTGTAACATCTAGCAATGTTATATAACATTTGCTATAAGTAGAAAAAGTCACTTTTCAAAAGTGCTATATAACACTGCTATAGCAGATTCTGCTATATACAGTTGAACCTCTATAAGACGAATTTCAAGGGGTACGGGAAAAATTCGTACTATAGAGGTATTCTTAATAAAGAGGGTCGTTTTATCGAGGTTTAATGCTGCTGTTATTCTTCTTATAGAGGTTTCTCCTCGCTCCAAGGTTTCTCCAAACAATGACTGAGGAAGGAGGAGGGATGGGTGGGGGTTTCATGTTGAGACGAGCTTCTATTTGTTTTGAAAACTACGTACTATGGAGTTTACGATTATGATAAATTTGTCTTATAGAGGTCACGTTCGTCTTGTAGAGGTTTTGTGCTAAGAATATTCGTTGTATAGAGAATAATCAGTCCTACCCCATGTCACAAACAAATTCGTCTTATGGAGGTTTTTAACTTAATTACTACGTTGTATAGAGGTGTTTTTATCATTGACCTATATGAAAGTGTCAAGGGGATTTAAAAAAATTTGTCTTATCGAGGAATTCGTTTTATTGAGGTTCGTACAAACGAGGTTCAACTGTATAGCAAAAATTGTGCTATCCATCGGGAGTCGGTAAAGATCAAAAGAAATGCATGCTATATCTAACATTGCTATATGTAGCAATGTTATACAAATATTTTTCGTCTAGCATCTGCTATATGTAGCATTTAGTGTCAACAGTTCACAAAAGTTCACAGTTGTAGCCTCATGTGTACGGACGTTTTTGCTCGGGGATCTTTGTTTACAATGGTAGGACTGTAAAGCGACAGTGCGTGGGATCAGGATGATATTATAAACTTTAATTGAACTGTTCCGTGGACAACCGGCGTTGTGGTCATACGTCAAACATTTTTAAATCTACCATCGTCTTATTTCGCGTTTTAATTATGGATCGCTTCCGCTTCTGACTTCCGATAACCGTGATAGCTGCCTCGAACAATGTCTCTTCGGCTCAACATTTTCGATACAGAATGTAAATTAGGTTGTGCTACATATAAAGCCGGGTTTACACTATGTAGCAAAACCTGCTATATAGCAGATTTGTGTAACATCTAGCAATGTTATATAACATTTGCTAGAAGTAGAAAAAGTCACTTTTCAAAAGTGCTATATAACACTGCTATATGTAGCAGATTCTGCTATATATAGCAAAAATTGTGCTATCCATCGGGAGTCGGTAAAGATCAAAAGAAATGCATGCTACATCTAACATTGCTATATGTAGCAATGTTATACAAATATTTTTCGTCTAGCATCTGCTATATGTAGCATTTAGTGTCAACAGTTCACAAAAGTTCACAGTTGTAGCCTCCTGTGTACGGACGTTTTTGCTCGGGGATCTTTGTTTACAATGGAAAGACTGTAAAGCGACAGTGCGTGGGATCGGGATGCTATTATAAACATAAACTTTAATTGAACTGTTCCGTGGACAACCAGCGTTGTGGTCATACGTAAAACATTTTTGAATCTACCATCGTCTTATTTCGCGTTTTAATTATGGATCGCTTCCGCTTCTGACTTCCGATCACCGTGATAGCTGCCTCGAACAATGTCTCTTCGGCTCGACATTTTCGATACAGAATGTAAATGAGGTTGTGCTACATATAACATATAGCACGGGCACCGGAATCACAAAATTGTCTGTAACTTTTTTGTATCGTAAAAGTTATATAGCAATGTTATATAGCAAAAGTTATATAACAATGTTATATAGCAAAAGTTATATAGCAGTTTTTGCTACATAGTGTAAACCCGGCTTAACATATAGCACGGGCACCGGAATCACAAAATTGTCTGTAACTTTTTTGTATAGTAAAAGTTGTATAGCAATGTTATATAGCAAAAGTTATATAACAATGTTATATAGCAAAAGTTATATAGCAGTTTTTGCTACATAGTGTAAACCCGGCTTTAGTCTGACCTTGATTTGTCCTTAACCATGGCAAATTAAAATATTAATTACTTATGAGTAACCCACCACAACATCGACTGCTTAAATACAGTCAATGGGATTAAAAAAGTGTTTATAAAAAGAGTCTCTTGCAATTGTCTTGATATCGAGGTCCCAAAAGCATGGCCGAGCAGAATCTTTTCAGGCTGTATGTGCAAGGGAATGTATCGTGACGTACTCACCCCAACCGCAAAAATAAAAGAAGGGAGATTCTCAAATCTCGTTCAAGAGACCTTCCAATTATAATTATAAAATCTAGCATCTCTGATATCAGACTAGGACAAGGTTACGGTTACGTTACCACACAAAGAAAACCTATGGTTCCATGGTTCGTATATGGATAGCAGAGAGGTAATAATGCTCGCCTTTCATTGTGAATGTTGCTAGTTCGATCCCAAGCGGTGTCAATTCCGACCTTAGATGTCATTTGCCATTGGACTAATTACGCTATCTGGGAAAAGGCCGACGTTATATGGTAACACGACTATGTAGGTTTTAGACCGTTCCCTGAAAAAAACTGAAGAACTTTTTAATGGTG